TAAAGTCAATCTATAGATTAAACTAGAACAAGTTGTTTGTTTTTTAATAGTCAATGATTCATTGTAACTCATTCATCTTCCATGTACATACATTTTGTTTGAAGATGATAAAGCATATTAAAGATGCCAGAAATACATTGTTTTATCTTGATAGAGCCATTTGCTTTTATCAATCTCTAATTTGTCTTTGAACTGCTTGTGCATAAAAGCTTTCATATTTTTGGTTGCCAGACTCTGATTTATAACTACATGTGTAAATTTTACCAGGGAATCAATATATGATAGAGACAGAAACAGACAAGTGAATTTACTGTCTTAATGATGAAGTTTTTGTTTGTTTAATGCCCACAATTTATATTTATAAGTACTTGTACAATTTTAGTTTATAGGAGCTGAAAGTTGGGCCGTGTTTTCTGATCAGAGATGATTTAGTTTCTCTGTTTTATAACATTGTATCACTTCTTAGCTCACCTCGAAGAAGTTTAGATGAGCTTATGCTACACCCCTGGCGTCGGCATTGGTGATGGCGTCCTGGTTAAAGTTTTAGGAGCATGTCCATTCCCAAGTAACTATAAGCCTTACCTGGACCAAACTTGCATGGATGATGCATCTAGGGATGGACACTACCAGACATGCTCCAAATGCTGGATCTGACCAACATTTTCCAGATGAGTGACCAGGGTAAAGTTTTTTGTGAAGGTACATTCCCAAGTAATCATAAGCCCTACCTGGACCAAAGTTGCATGGGTGATGCATCTAGGGATGGGCACTACCAGAAATGCTGTGGATGTTGGATCTGACCTACATTTTCCAGTTGAGTGACCAGGTTAAAGTTTTCCTACACCAAACTGCATGGATGATGCATATAGGGATGAACACTACCAAACATGCATAGGATGCTGGATATAACCTATATTTTCCAGATGAGTGAATTTAGCCATACTTTTACAAAATTAGCATAGGTGATGTATCTGGGATGGACATTACTAGACTTGCTTTAGATGCTAAATTTGACCTATATTTTCCAGATGAGTAAACAGGATAATGTTTTCCACAGTAGCTCTATAATTATATGGCCTGTTATGATTAAACTTGCATGGATGATACCTCTAAAGATGGACACTTCCAGTCTTGCTTCAGATGTTGGAAGTGACCTACATTTTCTTCATTATTCAACAAGTAAAATTTTTGGAGCAGGTCCATTTCCAATTAATTATAAGCCCTACTTAAACCCAAACTTGCATGGATATTGATCTTAGGGTGCACACTAACTTAAAATAATATAATGTGAAATTTGCCTAACTTGTAGACAACATTCATCTAGGTTAGCTTTGTAATCTTTGATTACCTATGTTTAAATTTCTCCAGAAAAACAATCCCATTTTAATCAAATTTGGTACAAGCATTATTTGAGCAAAGGACAAGATATTAGTGGTATTGCATTTTTCAGAAGGGGTTCGATTTCTTTATTAATAAAAGGTAAAATTAGAGAGTGGTCTTGTGTGCAAACATAGGTCCAGAAACTGCATAATGAAGGCTGCCTTATGTTAATCAATTTAGTGCAAATAGGCCTGTGATTACGATGGGGCTACAGTGATTCAAAATTATCAGAGACAGATATATAGAATATTGTTTCTGAGATCCAGTCAGCTAATATGATAGGTATATGCTGTTAAGGAAATTAAATTGTCAATTGCCAGTAGTCTTAGCAACTGCAAAACTTCAAACTTTAATTACTGTAGTCAAAGATAAACATTGCTGGTTTAGGAATAATGTGTACATCACTATATGGTCAATTTCTGGAAACACACAGAAAAAGGTGAAAGCCTAGGAAATTGATCAGCACTTTATATTTATCACTGAACCTATATTGATATCTCAAATTTTTTTTTGTCATTGATTTATTAAAAATATGTTTTCATGCTCTACAATATTTTGTCTACTGTAGGAAAATTTAATCAATATTTAACTGATGTGCTTTATCAGCTTACAGTTACTGGATGAATTTTATGTTAAATAGGTTTCCAACTGTAATTTTTTTTTTTAATACAACTTTGCATTTTCAGTACAAGTTGCAGTTACAGTACAGGCCACGAGTTTTCCCCGTCGCACGGTGGAAAACACACCGTGTGAAATGCTCTGTGTTACACCATGTACACGGTGTAGCACGGTGTGTGTGGATTTGAAATACACAGGTAGGCACACCGTGACGCACCGTGTCTAGAAAAATCCCAGCTAATGCTCCCCGTGTCGCACCGTGCCCAGAAAACTCCCTCCGTGCCGCACCGTCTCCATAACATTACAGAGAAAAACCATTTTGTTCTGATAAAATATTTTAAGATTTTAAAACAATTATAACATTGATTTATATGTATACTGTAATTATCGTTTTCTAATCTAGAAGACATTGACGTGTTCTGAATCGTACTAATGATACATGTAGTAGGATTAAATATCAGTAACAGAAAAAATTATTAAAAAATAATTTTAAAAAAAAAATAACAGAGTTGAATTTACCGTGTGCCCAGAAGTTCATATTTCATAAAGTTGTTCAGTTACTTTTTAAAATTATAACTTGGGTTGAAATTTTTAATTTCTGAAGAATTTGATTCCACGCAATCGCGTAACGAAGAAATGGCGTGATCTGTGTTACATGTGGTATACGATCCGAGCTGCATGTATCTGTTTTAGGATACAAACCAAGCATTTATATTCCAGAGTAAAGCACATTTATTTTATTTATCTTGTATTATTCTGAATTTATAAGCGAGAATCGAGAGCAAAATTCCTGTGTACAATAATGTGCGTATTTTTCGTAACAGAATAAATTCTTTACATAAACTAATAAGTATAAATTCTGTTTTAAAAATCCTCTCAGTGTAAGAATTTAATATGTTTTTCCTTAATTATGTAAAGAAACAATGTCAGAGAGAGAGAGAGAGAGATGCTCTTAACCCCCATTCGTATAAATCTGAAGAAAAAATTTTTTTAATTCTCGTTTGATAATGCCGAAGCGTATTTCTCGTAACAGACGAATTTTTTTCTTTTCATAAACTAGTATTTAGGTTTTAAAATCCTTTCAGTGTAAGTGTAAGTTTTTCTTTTATTGAAAAGTGTGTAAACAATGTCAGAGAGAGAGAGAGAGAGAGAGATTCTTTTAACCCCCTTTCACATAAATCTATAATAATAATAATTCTTCGTTTTATTTACATTACCAAAGTCACAATTAACCATTCTGTAATACTATTTAAATTCTGTAACATTGTTTCATAGTCAACCCAGTTGCAACATGTTATGCTCGGTTACACACGAAATCCTCGTGCTATACCTGTCAATCAAAATCGCACGACGCTAGATGGCCCAGAAAGTCTGTTTACGCGGAAAGTCGTGATTTGAAACATTCTTATGGGCAGTTCCGAGTTCACACCTTTCTTAAAAATATATTGGGGCACAGCCGGAGGGCCGGGGGTGCTGTGTGTTTATCACACCTTTCAAATTCTTTCGTCCTTGACCACATCAAGTGTATAACACACTCAACTGACTTCCAGCCAAATTCATCTACCGAATTACGCCACCACACGTGTGCTTTGGCTTGATTACAAACTTACTTTGTAAATTATTCCTATTCAGACACATATAAACATGTAACGTGTTAGATTATAGTTGTTTATTTCACAATAACGTAACATATAAAAGAAAATCTACAGATTCTCGAATAATTTAGAAGGGGGGGGTAAAAACATATTAGCTTGAAAGAGGCTATGGATTTTAATAACTACTTATTTTTTTTTCTCTCTAAAACCATGATAATAACTTTACAAAGACTTAGGTAAGCTTTATTCTATACATGTACATCCCCGCTCTACATTCGCTAATTGATTTTTTTTTTTTTTTTTTTTTTTTTTTTTGCGCAAACCGTTCGACACATTTTTCATTAAATAATTTCAGGATAAAGTAATATTTGTACAGTATTTGAACAGTAGATTTGAGTTACGAAAATTCGACATTTTGTGTGTGTAATATATATTTACCTCCATATTTATAAGATTACAGATTGCAATAATCCTTAAATTATCAGAGAATTTATGAATTATGTACGAGTATCTGACACGTTCTAAATTTTATTTGAGATACTTTTTTTAAATTCTCCTTATGTAGAAATGATTTATAAAATATAACATGCATCTGATAAATACGACATATGAATGCATAAGTGCGGCAAAAATAAATCTTTTTATGAAAATGGCTGTAATTAAAATAAACACAGTTATAATCACTATTCCTTCTAAGCATTATAATAGTTAACTGAACATAATTTTTTCTCTAGTATAACTAGGTCTTGAAACACGACTTACATGGATGTGCATACACATTTGAAGACTTTTTTTTCGGTGCTGGGCACATGCACGTGGATCTTAGATTTTAGGGCATCTTATTTGTTCAAAACACCTGTATATCGATAATGAAGAACTAATATTTAAGAAAAAGTAAAAAGAAAACTTATTTCAAAGGAAATTGATTTAACAAAGACAATGCATAGTTTTTTTTTGTTTTTTTTTTAAGTTCTGTGTGATATCGTAATGGGACACTGTGACACACCGCGCGTACACACCGTGTTACACGGTGCACCAACATGCTAACTTCAAAGACGCCGACATTGATCGAGGTCCACGCAAAAGCGTGGACTAGCGGTCCACGGGGCCCCGTGTTTTTCGGGGAAAACTCGTGGCCTGTACTGTAAATGCAGTATTTAAATCAGAACAAAATACTTGCTAAGGTCCCTGAATTATTTTAGAACAAGTACAGTTAAATCTTGTTATCTCCAACCCAATGGGTCTAAGGATTTGAGGTATTGAGGGTAAAATAACGGTGTTCGAGATGCCAAAGTTTAACTGTATTTGAAATTTTAAAGGTAATAACAAGTGGAAATACAGTAAAAGCTCGTCATCTCAAACTCAATGGGACAAGAAAAAAGTTAGAAATATCCGAGGATTCAAAATATGGAGGGTATAATACTTTTTAAAGAATAAGTGTTTAGGACTTCCAAATCACTTTGACATATCCATGGTATTCGAGATATCAGTGTTCAAGATTCCAAAGTTCAACTGTATTTTTAGATGTGGCTTATTGGATTGTAGACGGTAAAGATCTTGAATTTCAGGTGATTTCCACCCTGACCTTTACTATAGGAGATGTTAATGAACCTCCTTATGACCTTCATCTGACCTCATTAAATGCACCGATACAGTTTCCAGAAGATAAACCAGAGCTGAAGGAAAATGTCAAAGGTATACATGTACAAAGTCAGTTTGGCTGTCAAAGGTATAGCAGTACTAAGTCAGTTTGGCCGTCAAAGGTATAGCAGTACGTAGTCAATTTTGCCGTCAAAGGTATAGATGTACACAGTTTGGCTGTCAAAGGTATAGGTGTACGCAGTCAGTTTTGCTGTTAGTGAGTTTCAACACTATGAATAAATTTATTTTCAACTATCACAATCTTGAAAGTAAAAAAAAAGTAATGTTGAACAAAGCATTAAAATTTATATTAAAAAAAAAAAATAGTATGTGGAATCAGTTTGATTCTTAGTGTTCTTATATTTCACAGCAACTTATATAGGAACCATAGTAGTGAAAGACCAGGACAAGGGAGACAATCTAGTGATGAAATTAATGGATGATCTAGGAGGCCGTCTGGTTATAATGAATGCAGACTGCTCTCAAGTCAAGGTCAGTGTTATTTCAGTGTTATTTTCTGGTTATTATGAATGCAGACTGCTCTCAAGTCAAGGTCAGTGTTATTTCAGTGTTATTTTCTGGTTATAATGAACCCAGACTGCTCTTAAGTCAAGGTCAGTGTTATTTCAGTGTTATCTGCTGGTTATAATAAATTCAGACTGCTGTAGTGTTAATGTCTGGTTATAATGAACCCAGACTGCTCTCAAGTCAGGGTCATTTTTATCACCTGGTTATAATGAACCCAGAATGCTCTTAATTTAAGGTCATTTTATCACCTGGTTATAATGAACCCTAACTGCTCTCTAGTTAAGGGTATTGTTATCACCTGGTTAGAATGAACCCTGACTGCTCTCCAGTTAGGGATATTGTTAGGGCCCCGCTCTGCGGGCGCCCTATAGTGATCAGTCCGTCCGTCCGTCTGTCCATCCAAGATCTCTTGTCAGGAGCATATCTTCTCTCTCCTTGGCCCAATCTGGCTCATACTTCACCCACAGAGTGCCTTTGGGTAAAGGGTGTGCAATGACCTTGAACTATTTTTCTAGGTCTAAGGTTAAGGTCATGGCAGAATTATATGAAAAATCCTTGTCTGGAGCATATCTTCTCTCCTCTTGGTCCAGTGTGGCTCATACTTCACTCACAGAGTGCGACTGGTCAGTGGATGTGCAGTGACCTTGAACAAAGTTTTTAGGTCAAAGGTCAAGGTCAAAAAATAGCCTCTCTGTTTAAAATCTTTGTTCGGTGCATAATTTCTTTCCCTTAAGTCCAGTCAGCCTCAAACTTTACCAATTGACTTAGGCAGGGTTAGAAACTCCCTAAAATTACAACTCGCAAATAATTGTGAGTACCAAGAAAGTGAACTCGCAATTTTATAAGACTACTTGCAATTTTCATACAAAGTTAAATTTATATAAATTAAATCCATGTAACTTAAGGAAAAAGTAACTACTGTACAATACACAAAATACAACTACAGTGTGACTTTTAGTTAAATTACTGATTTAAATCAAAAGCATTGTGTTCTGTCATATTATATAATTTTGCTACAGTTTCAATGCAAAAAAAATCAACTCGCAAGTTTTTGCGAGTTACCTAATTTTTAACTCGCAATTTGGGAATTCTAACTCGCCTTTTGCGAGTTGTATATAGTGAATTTCGAACCCTGTTAGGGTACGGAACATTTGTGATTTTCCTTCCATATTTTGATAAAGGATATGCAACAATTTTCATCGAGAATATGCAACATTTGTGATTTTTGTGCCGTTTTTTGATAAAGGGTATGGAGCACTCGTGATTTTCATGCCATTTTTTATTATAACAAGGATGATAAAGAAGCCCTTTAGACTCAAACAACACATCCCTTAATAGTACACAAATGTTCCTCTTCAAACTTTTCACTCTATTAAAATACTCACTTTTAATCAAATATATCATAAGCCATGCAATTTGTGTACATGTAGGTTTTGTGTGGTGGAAACTGCATGAAACTGATCTCGGATAGTTCTTTAAGAGATTCTTTAATGTTTCGTAAATAAATGTTATAAATTAATCCACAATGATACACAATGCCTGTAGCATATTATTTCTTGTACTGTTTGTGCAGAGGCTGCATGGGCTTATATACAAATAAATGATGTTCTGTATATTCATTGACAAGGATTATAAAAATTTTCAAAAAAATTAAAAATGTAATTTGTAATTTAATTAATTACTTTTGCAAAGTAATTGTAATTTAATTAATTACATGTCTTAGAAAACCTGTAATTTAATTGTAATTTAATTGAAGAAAAAGTCAAAGTAATTGTAATTTAATTAATTACTTTTTAAAGTAATTGACCCCATCCCTGCTTCAAAGTAAACCCTTTTCAGCTACCTTACATTTTCATGTTCATTGCTGAAAGTGAGGCCCTTTGAGATGGCCGCCATCTCAATGATATCTAGTTATCACCTGGTTAGAATGAACCCTGACTGCTCTCAGGTCAAGGTCATTTTAACACCTGGTTATAATGAACCCAGACTGCTCTCTAGTTAAGGGTATTGTTATCCCTGGTAAGAATGAACACTAACTGCTGTCTAGTTAAGGGTATTGTTATCACCTGGTTAGAATGAACCCTGACTGCTCTACAGTTAAGGTCATTGTCATCACCTGGTCACAATCAACCCAGACTGCTCTCAGGTCAAAGTCAGTGTTATAGCAGTGTTATCACCTGATTAAATGAATGCAGACTGCTCTCAAGTCAAGGTCATTATTATTTCTTTGTTATCATCTGGTTAAAATACATAAGCACACGTAAACTGCCCTCAAGGTCGATGTTATTATTAGGTAATAATAACACAGAGTGCTCTCAAGTCAATGTCAGATATATTATTTAAGAAGATTATTTTCATAATTTTCACTGGGTTAAAGGATGTCACGTAATAATCGACCTTTTCTGATATTGATGCGAAAGTGTCCAAGTAGAATATGATATTGCACAACTCATCATTTCTATACTGTAATAAGCAAAAAACAACCATGCCAAAGTTACATAAAACATGACATCATAAGAAGCATGTGTTTATGCCCCCACCATAAAATGGCCAGGGGCATATAGTGTTACCCTGTTCCGTCATTCCGTCATCATTGAATTTCAGTTCATTATCTCGGCAACAGTTGCATACATTCAACTCAAATTTGACATATGGCTATGTCAAAGAAATACGCAGGTCAAGTTCGAATTTGGTCATGGTCCGATGATTTTTGACAGAGTTATCTCTCTTGAACTTGGAAAAAAATAAGAGATTTTCAGTTTCCGCACTCTAACTTTTTTAGGGATTTATGTATAAGGTTGAAATTGCATATGCACAAACAAATTTAAAACTAAAATATAGCATTTGAAATTTTTTGCTGCCTTTGGGAGCATTCGTGGCAATGCGACACATCTAGTTACAATTGTGACGTAATGTCAGCAAAGTCTCGCAAGCTTAGTCTCTTTCTGTGTCTTTGGTCAATATTACTTGACAAAGGTCCTTATAAACACATATTGACCTATGCTGAAGTCCATAATTGTATATCATCCATGCAGACTGCTTGAAGTCAAGTTCATTGTTGCTTCAGTGTTATTGTTTGGTTGTAATGAACACATGCAGGCTTCTATCATGTCAAGGTCTGTTTTATTTCAGTGTTATAATCTGGTAATAATGAACCCAGACTGCTCTGAAGTCAAGGTCAATGTTATTTTAAATATGATTATGAATTTTAACATCAGAACCTGAAACTGTCAGGTGATTACAGTCAAAGATTGGCAGATATTCCTGAGTGTGACTGTCTTTCAGGAGATAAACACTTACTGCCTGGGTACCCTTGTGACATTGGGGTCCTTTGACCATGAGAAGGAGGGAGAAGTAAACATCTCAGTGTCTGTGTCAGACAGCCGGGGTCTGGAGACGACAGTGGAGTGGACAATGGAGATCCTAGATGTCAATGATGCTCCCTCTGTAAGTGAACTCCAAGCAGATACAGTGCCATAACAGAACTTGTTTTGTAAACATGAAAAAGCATTCCATAGGTCAATTTTTTATTTGAAATCCTTTGACATAATATGTGATTACTGTAGTGTTTTATAATCAAAGAAGATGGGTGAACATGACGAGTGAAAAGCCTATAGTGTGACAAACATGAATGTGAAAAATTAAATTTTAATTATATCAAAAATTTCCTTGATATTTCATCCAACATTAAAATATACTTTATGTAAAATCTCTACAATTTTCAAAAATCTCACAAAGATTGAAATTATTTGCTTATGAAATATTATACACACACTGAAGAATGCAAAAAGAGTCATTTTCTCACGCTATAACACTATTTTTCGTTATGAGTGGGTCTTCGCTCCATTTTTTGGAAAGTTAATCCTCAAAGTTTGCATAAAAATATACATTTTTTGTTTCCAAAAACATGGAGCAAAGATCCAAAATACCTTAAAAATATACTTTTATGACATAGCATTCACATCTTTTCAAGAAATACTTGAAGTCCATAAAGTCAAGGGTCATATCACAAACATGATTTAAATGCCACTATTTATCAGGACTTGTGTAGTCTAGTGGTTGGCGAAAGTCTCGAAAGAAAATGATACTCAGTATTTTTATTGCTAGGTGTTTGAACCCCACGAATACTACATTATTTTTTTAAATAAAAGAATAAATTTTGCCGAGAAAATTTTCCTCAGAAAAGTGCTGTTTATTATAATTTCAGAAATTTCAATAATGAGAACTTTACTCTAAATCCTAAATTCACAAATTGAAATGATTTTTATATATGTGAAGCTATAGGCTTTCTGCACGCTATGTTCACCCATCTCCTTAGCCAAGAATAACAATTGTGCTGTCTTGTCCAATGTAAGCGAAAGTTACACAGTTTAGATAAAAATCAACAGTCTGAGAGAATAGTAAAGAGAAAAATAACAATTTATTTAAGATCATAATTAGCCAAGAATAGAAAAGAGAATGGTAATAATGTGTTTTAAATTAAGATAAAAAAAAAAATTATCAGAGGATGATTACTCTCTTGTCTAGTAATTATGAAAGTTCAGTATTATATATATTAAAGGATGTCAATGAGTATTCGCAGGGATCGACATTAACAGTTGTCCGATTGCCCGGGGCAAGTAAATTCTCAGTTTGGGCAAGTGAAACTGCTGATGTACTTGTCCAACCGGGCAAGTGAATATTTCTGATAGATTTTTTTTTATCTTACATTAGTTTATAAACAAAACAATAAAGTAAACATTTGATTTCTACCAGGAATATGACATTGTTTTTGCATTTGGAAATTCCTAGATCATACTGTTTATCAAAAAATCGGGTTTGTTATTCAGTTTTTCTTTCGTGGTAGCTAGCTAGTTGACAAAAATATGCTTTCCGTCTGACAACTTTCTTTACATTCTTACGAAAAAAGATATCATAAAATAGTTCATTTGTTAACTCACAGAATATAAAGAACACCAGTTATTCTTGGCGCACAATGTATTCTTATCAGGACATGTATGTTTCGAAACATGGCAACTATTTTCCTTTAGCATTGCTTCAGTTTTTCGGGGGGGGGGGGGGGGGGGGGGGAATCAAAGTTCACAAAAAGATCACACAAAAAATAATTTTCAAAAATATGAATTTTATTTTTAAGGAAATATTCCTGCATAGCAGTGTGAGTACAAATATTTAAAATAAAACATGAGCAGCAGACCAAATTTTTTTCTGGCACTTAACTTGCCAAATATAAAGTAATATCTCACTTTATTTACAATAATAAATTAAGATACCAGTTCTCTTCTTTCTAAATTTTGGGCGACCAAGTTTTGCATTCGGACAAGTCAAAGTTTGAGTTCACTTGCCCAAAGGGCAAGTGAATCTGAAAGTTAATGTCTATCCCTGATTCGGGTACTCTACTATCATTTGGTCAAACCAACTATTGAATAAATATGAGAATTCATGAAGTACATGAACTGACGTTTGGTCATACCAACTGTCGACTAAATGTGAGAATTCATGAGGTACATGAACAACGCTTCATGCCAGCATATTTTTCATGAATTGCTAATGTGGTGATAACTTTATCACTACCTTAATTATAGATTAAGGAATTGATTTGAAAACCTAATGCAAATGAAAGAAATCTGTAAGAGCACAAATTGCTTAGTAATAACAAAAAATCTTTTAACTCTATCATGATCATATTTATTATATAGAACATGCATTTGATGGTGGGCTGTCAAAATTCATTTCTACAATTTCTAGAAAAAGAAAAACATGCATCATGTTATTGAATGTAAATTTGATACTATCCTTCCATCCTGATGATTGGTTTGAGTAAGTGGTATTCTCAGTAGGTTAATCTCACATTGTTTGTAAAATCATCTTTTTGGTAACTGAGTCCTGCTCATCAACAGAAAGCAGACTACAGGTCATTCAAATACTAATTTTCATTTAATTTAAATGATAACCAGTGAATTATTCTGTGAGTTTTCATGGTTTTAAATGGCCATGAAGTATATTAGCCTACATCTCTATTACAGGAAATCTTGATAAATGGAGAGATGGTCAGCCGTGTGACAGTTACAGAGAACAACAATGGAGCTGTCATAGCGAACCTGACAGCAGCAGACCAGGATATAAACGACACTCATAGCTTCCTCCTGCTCAATTCCGCAGACAGAAGATTCACCCTCAAAGGGAAACAACTCCTGGTGAACACAAATTTACCTTTATCACATCATTTTTTTCTAGGGTGGGATACTTGTAGTTGATATTAATACCATACTAAATACTCTTACTTGAACAGTACAATATATTTAAATTTATACCAGTTATCAATACTCAAAAAAAAAAAATGTAAATTTTGTAGAAATCTCTCATTAATCTGGAGGTCTTTGTCCTGAGCAAATCTGGAAAACTGAATTACTTCTGTTAAATTTTGTTTTTAAATATGAGTAAAAGTATAAAAGCAATATATAATCCTAATTAAACAAAGCAAATGAAATATTATCTTGTGATACTGTAAAATAAGACATGTGAATGAAAAGATTTCAAATTAACGTGTGTTATTAAAATATGTGTGTAAATCATATAAATATAATAATGTTCAACTCAATTTTCAACTCAAATCCTTTGATCTACATATGAGTATAGGACACCCACAGACAAATGTCAAGTTGTCAGTGTCCGGGTTAAAAATACATGCTAATAAAGTGTGGTAAACACAGATAATTGCCTACCTTGTGTTTTGCAAGTAAGGATGGTCAAACTAAAGTAATTCTTTTGATTTTTGAGTCACTGAGTCACCTTTGAATGAAATTTTAAGTTTTTTTGTAGTAAAAATTGATTGACCAAGTGCTGTAGCAGTTCCCTTCTGTATCACTCTCTCTCTCTCATTTACAGTCAATTCACTGACACAGATGGAACATTCGTATTGTTGTTTGTTAACTTAATTAAGACTTGGTATCAATAAAAAATGAAAAAATATTGAAACTGTAGGTGCAATTAAATCCAAATACCTATTAGAATTTTAAGCTCAGGTGTGATTTTCTGCAGTACTAGAATTACTGGTAATCATATTTTCAAGGTTAACTTTTCTATATCAAGTTTTAGTGAAGATCTTTTATAAAAGCCAGACATTTATATATACAAGTTTTTAAGTCATTTAAAACGTGTCTGTTTGAAATAATAAAAGGGTGATGTGAAAAGGATGTGAAATTAAAAAAAAAAAGATTAAACGTCATAACATATGAGTTACTTTAAAAAAAATGTAAGATCTTTTGAAGAGGAAATAAAAAAAAATGTTTGAATATATTGTGTGATAAATTTTTCTTTTCCAGACATCTGATTCAGCTAACCTAGACTTTGAGACCACGGACTCCTACGCCATTCGTATTGTGGTTAAAGACAATGGAAAACCAGCTTTATCTTTTGAGAAATCTGTCACTATCATGGTTGAAGATAAAAATGAGGCTCCAAGAAATATTCTCTTGTCCGCCAACAAGGTAACAAGGGCTACCATGTCTGTCTATGGGTAACCTTGAAATGGTTTTCAGGTTTTGCCAACATAGTGATATTTGTTTTTATGTATTTTAAGAAGGTAAAAGAAATTGTTTGAAATAAACACCATGCACAGTAGAAAACAAAACCCACAAAGTTTTAAAAATGGCACCTTTTTGTAATGATATTTTTGCTTCAATGATGGTAGAATATTTACTAGAAGCCTTATCATATGTCATATCAGCCAAAGTGGCCCCATGTCAGCCAGAGGGCGGAGGGCTGATATGGGGCCGAAGGGCTGATGTGACATATGATATAGATTTTAGTATGTAATAATATTCTATTTATCATATATTTAAAATACTTGATATGCGAGTTCACATAATGTTTCATGCATGTTTGTGAACTATTTAAAATCTAATAAGAGTCAATTTTATCCAAATTAATTAAGTCCACAAATTTTGGTAAAGAATTGTATTACATGTATAATTATTTTTAAAAAATCAAGTAATTGACTTTTAAACTTTATATAAAGTTAACGTTACTTCTAGTTTGATAAGGATTTTCGCACGCCGGTCCAAGCTTTTATTATATACCTAATAAATAGTCTATAATAAAAAAAATTACTAAAAGTCTAGAGAATTTTATCGTTCAATATCTTTGCATTTTATTAAACGCTAGGTTTGTATTATGTATATGAGTATGCCCAAAACATTCCAAATATGAGCGTTCAATATCAAATGCCCCATTGTAATCAAAAAATGTTGTCTGGTCAACCTCTCGAAGGCAAATTTATGATAGGTAGTGGCAGTCAGGTAAGAGGAGTTTATTTTCACACAAAATTGAAATTATTAAGTAATAATTTTGTACCTATTAGCCTCAGTGTTACCTCAAAAAGCAAATCATGATGCTTGGTAGGGTCATTTCTTATATTTATGCAATACTGAACACTTACAGGGCAGACGTTAATTTAAATACTGATGCTGAAAAATTCTTATTAATTTGAGTTATTTAATTGAAATAATTAATATAAATCAAAGGGAGATGTTTTAGCTATATAATAGAGGAATTATCAAAATATACAGTGCGGACTCGTTATTACGATGTTCATTTTGTCACGGTAAAATATCGTAATACCGAGGGCAACGTAATAAAAGTTCCCAATAAAATCCAGTAAAACATCGTTTTGAAAGCTTGTTGTTGTATTAGGAGGTGTATTTTTCTCCTTTTGTTTCCTTCTCCTGTTCAAATTCTTCATTAAAACGCTATATACATAGAATTTATTAATAACTTATCTTGAACAGATATCTTCATGATGCTATTTCTTCTATTTCCTTCATTTTAAAAGAAATGTGCACATTTTTTATAAAAACTTCGGCAATCTTCATTTATCTGCCGCCATTTCCTTTTACTTTTACTTTCGTTTCGGTCTAGATAATGCGTTCGTAAAATTTTCAATGTCTTCGTATCATTACTACATAAATAACAACAATACATCACTGGGCGGTTTTGGGTGTTCAATGAGCTTAGAGCTGCAGTGAACAACTGATGAAAGTGGGCAGTGTGATAGGCATATTCATGGACAGGATTGAGAACACACAAGCTAAATATATTAATGTCAAAATAAATTTGAATTTTTAAATTACTGAACAGAGTTCAATTAGCAGTTGAGCAATTATCGATTTGTATTTCTGTTGACACCTGTGAGGTAGTCCAAGCCACTATCCAAGCTGTTAAAATGTTAGTGGAGTTCAAATTTTGCCAAAGTTATGTTTGATACCCAAGCTGTCTGTTAAACTGCAAACGAAATTACACATTACGTATTTAACATACATGCATACGATTAAATGTAACCCTTTATTTAATAAATTAATTTTACTTATTAACCATAGTAAAAAAAATAATGAAATAAACTTTACAGAGATAGATAAACTAGAGACTACATTTATAAATAAACAGTTTAATTGTTTAACAATGGCTTTGGCACGTCTCCAATTCTGCTGACCTCGCTAGAACAGTCAAGGTGTGTGCAGTCAAGCGTCACTAATCACCTAATGGCCCTGCAAGTTAACACTCTGTCAGAGCACAGGTGTTTCAATGTTTATTTAGCGTCTCCTTAATTGTCTACAGTCGATCAACACTGAATAAACACGGGGTGAAAAAAAATTTTTGGACATAATTTTTACATCGTAATACCGAGTCCCGGCATTTTAGGACATCTTAATAAACAGTTCTATTTTGTATAGATTTGTTAAGAAAGGGTTTTGTGCTTTGAATTTTCAACGTAATAAGCGTTCTATCTTATAAAACCGTCACCTTAATAACGAGTCCGCACTGTAATAGAGGAATTATTGAACTTATTTTGGTGAATATTGGCACTCGTTGGCTGTACAAATGCACTCGTGAGCTCGTGTATTTGTACAGCCAACTTGCACCAATATTCACCAATATAAGTTCAATAACCCTATATTATCATATGCTTACTCCTTGGTAGTAAATACACGGATTTTGCACTAGTGTTGTACAGGTAATCAGAGAACATCGATTGTCGATGAAAAAATGCTACCGATTCCGATGATCGATTATTATTTTTCATAATTGATCATCGGAAACATACCTACCTAGCTACCTAGTCCTTGTTGCACCCAGAGGCACATAGGCAAGGACTAGGGATTTCCATTCTTCTCTGCTCTTAGCTGTCCTCCACCTCTCCTCAGCTAAGTTTCATTTCCATCAGTTCTTTTTCAATGGTTTGCCTCCATGTTGTTTTTGGTCGGCCTTTCCTCCTTTTCCCTTCTGGGGTCTATCTTAGTGCCACTCTTGTGATATTGTTTGTTGGCTTTCTTAAGACAATGGCCAATCCATTTCCATCTGTATTCTGTATCAGAAACGTACTTCTTATAAAATGCAGTCTGGAATTATTCATTCCTGGTTTAAAATTTATTTCTTCGTAATGAAAGAAAAATGGTGTCTTATGTGTTATAAAGCCAACTAGCACAAAGCAGAGGTGATTAAGAACCAAAAGGTGCATATATAGAAAGTGTGAAAGAAGCAAAACAACAAAGAAAACAGTATATTATATTTTATAAAGATTCATATTAAAGAAATAAAATGAAATACTTGTAATAGTCTGCTTTTTATATAGAAAACTGACATCCGATTATAATTGGTAAAATCTCATCGGAAGCAGTAACCGATTCCAACCGATGATGGATTATGAAAATTAACTGATGTCCCATCTCTATTCTGCACTGTGCGAAAGAGGTCACAATACCCCATATTAATGACTGGTCTGAAAACCATTATCACTAGTCAGACATCGGTGTACAAAAACGCATATCAAACCAGCACCTGTTTAATGAACGTCAATTTTATGCCCCCTTAATTGAAGATTCGGGGCATATAGTTTTTGCCTTGTCCATCTGTCAGTCTAGCTTTCTGTCTGCAAAAACTTTAACCTTGGCCTTAACTTTTGATTGGTTTGAGCAATGGCTCTCATACTTCACTTGTGTATTTGTTGTGACAAGACCTTTCTTTGGGTACCAACATATTTGACCTCTTGACCTTGGAGTTTGACCCGCTTTTGCATAATTTTACCACACTTTAACCTTGGCCATAACTTTTGAATGGTTGATGCTAGGGCCTTCATACTTCACATATATATTCCTTGTGATGAGACCTTTCCTTAAATACAAATATTTTTCACCTCTTTACCTTGACCCTTGAGTTTGACCCACTTAACAAAAACTTTAACCTTGGCCATAACTTTTGAACAGTCAGTACTAGGGCTTTAAAAACTTTAATCTTGACCTTTACTTCTGAACAGTTGCCACTGGGAAATATATATTTCTTGTGACAAGACCTACACTTTGGTATCAACAATTTTGACCTTGACCTTGGAGTTTGACCTTTTTTTGAAAAACTTGTACTTTGGCCATAACTTTTGACCAGTTGGTGCTAGGGCTTTCATATTTCATAAGTGTATTCCTTGTGATAAGCCCTTCCTTTGAGTACCCTTTGACCTTGACCTTTGAGTTTGACCTACTTTTGAAAAACTTTAACCTTGGCCATAACTTTTGAACAATTGGTACTATGGCTTTCATTTTTGAGATGTATATTAGTTTAGAAAAGAGCTATCCTTGGGTACTGACAATTTTGACCCTTTGACCTTGACCTTTGAGTCTCACCTAGTTTTGAAAAACTTTAACGTTGGCCATAGCTTTTGAACAGTTGTTGCTAGGCCTTTCATATTTCACATGTGTTACCTTATGACAAGACCATTCATTATGTACCAGCGATTTTGATTTGTTTACATTGACCTTGGGAGTTTCACTTGCATTTGAGAAACTTTAATCTTTGCCGTGGGCTACCATACGGGGGCATCAGTGTTTCACAAACACATCTTGTTTCTATTTACAGTAAAAAAGTGCCAGGGACAGACAATTTTGCTTCAATGTAAACATACACTTTCAATGTGATGTTTTGATGATGCATATGTTTTGGCTTTCCCATAGAAAAAAAAAACTGGACACTGCCGTTCTTTCTATGATATTGGGGAAACCCATCTTTTATCTGTAGCTCCTTCTATACCACTGAATAAAATTTAAGCATACCTTCCCAGAATCTTTATTACAGAGTGCCATTGTGCACCTCCTATTTAACATTTTAATTGGACACATATTTGGGCTTTTCCAAAGCAAAACATGGACACTGCCATTCTTTCTATGATATTGGGGGTACCTGTGACTTATCCACAACTCCTCCTATATCACTAAATTAAAATGAGACTTTCACAGAAACTTAGTCACAGAAACTAAGTATTCCACTGAAATATGGAAGATCTTGTATGACAACTCAGATTAAATTGTGTATAACATCTATCATGGCTGATGTTCATCTTATCTATGTGAAAACTTTAAGATCAGCTGTGTCTTCAAGCAACACCAGAGCATCCTCTAAGAGGATTTATTTACAACTCATGTGAAGGCATGTCAGACCTACACTT